CAAAAGAGAGAAATGATGAAGGAAAAGAGCTGATCAGATTTCAAAGCGTAGCTTGAGAAGAAAAAATAAAATATACTAATGAAGTGTGTGAAGTCCTGGAGTTAGAAAACCACAAGAGAAGAACACAGTTATCATTTCTCAAGCTGACACAACTGAAGAAAAAAGTCAAAGCTTGATTTGCAGTATTGAAGGATTCTGTGGGCAAATTATTGAGTGATTCAGGGAGAATTAAAAGAAGATGGAAGGAATACAGAGAGCCACTATACCAAAAGTTGGTTGATGTTCAATCATTTCAGAAGGTAGCATATAATCAAGAATTGAAGGTGTTGAAGGAAGAAGTACATCTGCACTGAAAGCATTGGTGGAAAACGAGGTTGCAGGAATTAATGGAATAACAATTGAGATGTTTCAACAAACAAATGCAACGCTGGAAGTGCTTACTCATCTATGCCGAAAAATTCGAAAGACAACTACCTGGCCAACTGACTGGAGAAGATCCACATTTGTGGCCATTTCAAAGAAAAATGATCTGACAGAATACAGAAATTATAAAAAAATGTCATTGATATCACATGCAAGTAAACTTTTGCTGAAAATAATTACAAAATAGTTGCAGCTGTACATCCACAGGGATCTGCCAGAAATTCAAGCTGAATTCAGAAGAGGACATGGAATGAGGGACATCATTACTGATGTCAGATGGATCTTGGCTGAAAACAGAGAATACCAGAAAGATGTTTACCAGTGTTTTATTGACTGTGCAAAGGCATTCAACTGTGTGGATCATAGCAAATTATGGATAACATTGTGAAGAATGAGAGTTCCACAATACTTAATTGTGCTCATGTAGAACCTGTACATAGACCAAGGGACAGTTATTTGAACAGAACAAAAGTATACTGCATGGTTTAAAATCGGGAAAGGTGTGCATCAGGGTTGTATTGGTTCATCACACTTATTCACTCTATGCTGAGAAAATAATCAGAGAAATTGGACTATATAAAGAAGAATGTAGCATCAGAATTGGAGGAAGACTCATTAACAACCTACGATTGTGCAGATAACACAAACTAGTTTCTTAAAAGTGAAGAGGACTTGAAGCATTTATTGATGAAGATCAAAGACTATCTACCCTTCATTATAAATGATACCTCAACGTGAAACAAAAACCCTCATAACTGGACCAATAAGCAACATCATGAGAAATGGAGAAAACGTTGATGTTGTCAAGGATTTAGTTTTACTTGAATCCACAATCAGTGCCGATGGAAGCAACAGTCAGTTGGGCACACCTGCTGCAGAGGACCTTTTTAAATGATTAAAAGGAAGGATGTCACTTTGAGGACTAAGATGTACCTAACCCAAGCCATGGTATTTTCAGTCTCCTCATATGCATGCGAAAGCTGGACAATGAATAAGGAACACCAAAGAATCGATGCTTTGAATTATGTTGTTGGCAAAGAATATTCAACGTGCCAAGGCCTGCAGGAAAAACAAACAAATCTGTCTTGGAAAAAGCACAGCAGGAATGCTCCTTAGAGGTGAGGATTGCAAGACTTCACCTCACAGACTTGGAACATGTTGTCAGGAGAGACCAGTCCCTGGAGGAGGGCATTGTGTTTGGTAAACCAGAGGGTCAGGAAGAAGAAGAAGACCCTCAACGAGGTGGACGGACACAGTGGCTGCAACAGTGGGCTCAAAGCTAGTGCACTGGGAGGATGGCCCAGGCCTGGGCAGTATTTTGTTCTGTTGTACTTAGGGTTGCCATTGTTTGGAACTGACTCTGCGGCACCTAACAACAACAAAAACGAGCTCCTGTGTTGTAAAAGATGGGCTTATCTTAGTAGACTTGGGTTAAAGGTAACTTTTCCTAACCAGTTAACTAGCCAGAATTTGACTTCTGGAAAAGGCCAGAAGTGAATAAACTGATGGGGTCACAGAAATGAGGTTTTACTACAGATTTTTCCTGTTCATGCAGAAACTCTCTTGTTGGTGAGTGTCATGGAATTGGTTACAACTCCTAACTTTATAGGACAGAGTAGAAATGCCCTATACAATTTTCTAGGCTGAAATCCTTACAGGAGCAGATGCTGGGTCTTTTCTCCCATGAAGCCACTGATGGTTAGCAGCTGAGAGCTTAACCATTGCACCACCAGGGTTCCTCATGCAGAAACTAAGGTATAAGAAATCTCCAACTCCCTCCAAGAGAGCGATGGCAAAATATTTCTGGATTTGTAATACAATTGTATTTTGCAATATAAGTCAGATGGTAATTTCAGTGGCATTGTGGTATGAGCTTCCCTTATGGAGCTTAGAAATGAATTTTGCCTCCTGTTTTCTTCTCAGTTTAATTTTCACATTGTGGATAACTTGGTATTTTTGATTTTGGAGACATTTTCATCCTAGCTTTTGAAATGATTGGGTAAACTGAAATGGCAAATGAGAAAGCTGACTTCACGTTTGACCTAAGCTACCATTTTTTATGGTCAGCTAGAACCCCTCATGATGCAGTGGGTAAGTGCTCAGTTGCTATCCTAAAGGTTGGTGGTTCCAACCCACCAGCTGCTTCCTGGGTGAAAGATGTGGCAATCTACTTCCAAAAGATTACAGCCTTTGAAACTCTCTAGGACAGTTCTACTCTGTCCTGAGGTTTTCTATAAGTCAGAATCTACTCAATGGCAGTGGTAGTGCCTTACCAGGAGCCCTGGTGGAGCAGTGGTTAAGTGCTTGGCTGCTAACGGAAAGGTTAGTGGTTCGAACTCACCAGTGGCTCTGCTGAAGAAAAGATCTGGTTATATGCTCCCATAAAGATGGCAGCCTAGAATACCCTGTGGGACTATTGTGCCTTGTCGTAAAGGATCACTACCAAAAAAAACCAAACTCATTGCCATAGAGTTAGATCCGACTCATAGCGACCCCTCCTTGGATTTCTGAGGCAGTATCACTAAGGAAGTAGATTGACCAACCTTCCTTCTAAGGAGTGGCTGGTGGGTTTGAACCGCCAGCCTTCTGGTTAGTAGTCAGATGCCTTAGGCACTATGCTACCAGAGCTCCCAAAGGGTCACTATGAGTAGGAAAAGACTCAACAGCACACAACAACAACAGTGCCTTATATGATCACCTGATCTGAAAGTGTGCAGTTCATGACTCATGGAAGGAGACCTGTCCCCATCTCTTCCTGTCCCTTTCCTGGCTTCTGGTCTAATCCAGCCTCAGCTCACCTCCAAGAATGGATTATTATAAATAATCCCTCTGGCTTTTCTGTCCTCAGCATCTCCTTCAGCCATCTGCTATGCTGTGGTATTAGTTTTCTACTGTATTGTAACAAATTTCCACAGACTTAGTGGTATCAACACAAACTTACTCTTACAATTTGTAGGGTAGACCTGTCTGGCACAGGTTACACTGGGTTAAAGTCAAAATGGTGGCAGGGCTGCGTTCCTTTCTGGGGGTATGGGGGAGAATCCATTTTCTTGGATTTTCCAGATACTAAAGGCTGCATGCATTCCTTGGCTCCTAGCCTCCTTCCCCATCTTCAAACCCAGCCACAATTCATGACCATTCTTTGACCATTCTTCTGTAATCACCTCTCTGTGGGACCATAGTCAAGAAAGGTTGTCTATGTTTCCTGCTTTTAAGGATGTATGTGATTAACTTAGTCTCAGTGTGGTGCAAAAGGTTAAGCATTCAGCTATTAACTGAAAGGTTGGTGGTTTGAATGTACCCGTTCTACTTCTGAGTGATCAGAGCCGCTGCAAGCCTTCTGGTGCACAGGTCTACTCTGACATCCGTGGACTTGCCATGAGTTGGAGTCAACTCTACAGCAACTGGTTTGTTTTTATTGTTTGGATGTTTATGTGTATAATCCAAGATAATTTTCTGTGGTCAGGTCCTTAAATTAATCGCATCTGCAAAGTCTGTTATACCATGTAAGGTGACGTATTCACAAGGTCCAGGGATTAGGGTATGGCCATCCTTAGGCATTATTCTACCTAACACAACTACCTTCAGAATTTTTTTTTTTTTTTTGTGAAATGACTTTTGGTTATCACTGTCTTACTCAAATAATTCTACAGACTTTTCCATTGCTGAGAAGATACAGTCCTACATTTTCAAATGGACATGCAGTAATCCCTGAGTTTGGCCTTATTGAGTCTGTCTGACTTTGTCCTTGATTCCCCACGCTGGCTTCCAGTCTAGCCAGGTTGATTCCATTCCCCTCACCCACCCATAGGGAGAGAGCAGGCGTACCCATGTAGAGACACTACGCCTATGATAAGATTGCCTTTCTCACCTGCCTTTCCCCTCTTTTTTAAAACCTTTTTGTCTATCTTATGATTCAGGATGTTGTTTCTCTGCTTCACTAGGCCTTTCCTGACGTTTCTGCTCATTTCTTGTTCAGAGTTCTGCAGATGAACTTTTTCTCCACCCATTTCTTTTGACACCTGTTGATGTTCTATTTTGCATTTTTGATCTGTATGTGTTTGTGCATGTCTTTTTCTTTTCCTCGACTGAATTGTGAGCTACTGGTAGGAAATAGCTACTATTTTTTTCCTTTATAGGTTTTTTGTAGAGCTGAGTTTTTACATAGATGGTTCTTTTTAAATTCTTATGGTATAGAATGTCTGAGTTTCTCTTGATTTAGTAATGTCTTAATTTCTTTTAAACTGGACCAAAATTACTTAGAATCTGTTGTGTGCAAAAGCAATGAAGGTGGCTATTTTTATCATAAGATGTGATCATAAAAATACAGATTGAATCATGGAGAGTTGGATGTGTTCTTTAAATTGCATAGAGTATACCTTCTCTCTTCCTTATTTAAAACTAACTGTTGATTCAAGGGCATAATACACTTAAAAAAATTTCATTGATCATTTAGTAAAGAATGTAGTATTTTACCTAAAAGTTGTTGAATTTGGTGGTATTACCTCTTTTTGCCCCCACCCCTTGTCTCCAAATCTCTTCTGTGCTCCTTACTGATTTTAAATGCTGTTGTACAGAATTCAACTAAAGCACCGCTGAAGAGGTCAAATGTTGAGAAGGTGACCAATGTGCAGATCCTGGTGTTGTTTGGTATCCTCCTAGTCATGGCCTTGGTGAGCTCCGTGGGAGCACTCTACTGGAATGGGTCTCAAGGTGGCAAGAACTGGTATATCAAGAAGATGGGTAAGTGTTGGATGGGATGTTATTGATGGAAGACAGAACTCATCCTTAAAAAGTTCTTCCAAGTGTATCTTTTACTTCTTTTTAGCTGTTGAGCATAATGCCAGCTTTTCAAAGAAGATTGAAAGATTATGAGTCATGTGATGAAGTGAAGATGGGAACATTAGGGGATTACTTTTTACTCAAATGATTATTTCTTTTCCCTACATCTTCTGAGTTATTTTCTTAGTAGTTGCTCAAGGGGTTACAATATACATCTTTATCAGAATCTACTTCATATTAACACTAATTGAATTCCAGTAAAATATCAAAACTTCACTACAGTAGAATTCCATTCTTTTCCCTGCTTTCTGCTATTTTAAGGAGCTCAGGTAGTACAGTGCCTAAGGCATCTGACTGCTGATCGGAAGGTTGGTGGTTCAAACCTAACAACCACTCTGCAGAAGCAATATTGGGCAATCTACTTCCATAAAGATATACCACCTCAGAAATCCAGTGGGGTTCACTATGAGTTGGAATTGACTCAATGGCAGTGGGTTCGTTTTTTTGCTTTTTTCTATTTTATTATATATATTTCCCTGTTTATGTTATGCATTCACCAATGGAATGGTATAGTCATTGCTTTATATAATCTTGTATCTTTTAAAGAAACAAAAAGATAAAAGAAACAAATATATATAATTTTTTAAATCAACAATTTATTTTATTAGCATTTCCAGTACTTTTCATTTCTTCTTGTGGCTTTGAGTTACCAACTAGTGTCGTTTTCCTGTATCAGGTGGCTTCATTCTCTTTGCTATTATATGCATTACATCTTTAAATTCTGTAAGTCCAACAATGTAATTTTATAATTTTTTTATTTAAAAAATCAGTAATAGAAGAAAGGATAAAATTATATAATCATCTTGTATTTTATCATTACTTACATAATTACCTTTTTTTAACGGATTTTAATTACTATCTTGTGTCACTTCCTTTCATCTTGGAGAACTTCTTTTAGCATTTCTTGAAGGCAGCTAACAATAGATTATCTCAGTTTCTATCTTGGAATGTCATAATTTCTTTTATTTTTTAATTATTTGCTTTGTTCTCTTGTAAAATTCTTGGTTAATATTCTTTTCCTTTTAGTGCTTTGAATATATTCTTCCTTCCACTGCCTTCTTGACTCCATTATTTTTGATTAAAGAAAAAAAAAGCAAAACTCATTGCTGTCAAATTGTTTCCAACTCATAGCAACCCGTCCTTGGGTTTCTGAGGCGGTATCTCCACAGAAGTAGAGTGCTTCCTTCCAAGGAGTGGCTGGTGGGTTTGAACTGCCAGCCTTTTGGTTAGCAATCAAATGCCTTAGGTACTGTATACCAGACCTCCTGAAGAAAAGTCAGCTGTAAACCTCAGTGTGTTCTCCTTGTATGTGAGTAATTTTTCTCTTGCTATTTTCAAGATTATCTCTTTGTCTTTTAATAGTTTTTTGTTTATCCTATTTGGTGTTTGTTGGGCTTCTGAGATTTGTAGATTTATCAGATTTGGGAAGTTTTCACTTATTTATTCAAATATATTTCCTGCCTCTTTTCTTTCTTCTCTTCTTCTGGTACTTCCATTATGTGTATATTGGTACAGCTCATGTATCCTGCAGGAGCTCTGGTGGCATAATGCCTAAGGCTTCTGACTGCTAACCAGAAGGCTGGTGGTTCAAACCCACCAGCCACTCCCTGGAAGGAAGGTTGGTGAATCTACTTCTGTAGTGATATTGCCTTGGAAACCCAAGGAGGGGTTGTATGGGTTGGATCCAATTCAATGGCAGTGGGTGTTTTGTGTGTGGTGTATCCTGCAGGTCTCTGAGTCTCTGTTAATTTTTTTAAATTATTATTCCTTTTTCTTTCTGTTCTTTGGACTGCATAATCTCTATCGATCCCTAAAATTTGCTTATTCTCTTCTCCAAGCTCAAATTATTGTTGAGCCCTTCTAGTGATTTTTTCATTTCAGTTATTTTTATTTTCAAGTTTTTATTTGGTACTTAAATAATTTCTATACCGTTATTGATATTCTCTATTTGATGAATCATAATTGCTTAAACACATGTACCTTTAGTTCTTTGCATATATTTTTAATAATGGTTTTGGAATCTTTACTTGAACCATCATCTGGACCTCCTCAAAGCCAGGTTCTCTTGCTTTTTATTCTTCCTGTTTCTTTGCACATCTCAAATTTTTGTTGAAAACGAGCATTTTAGATAATATATTATAGCAAGTCTAGACCTTGATTTCCTCTTTTACTGGGGCTTGCTGTTATTGTTTTTACCTGCACTAATTCCATGAACAGGAGCTCTGGTAGTGTAGTGCCTAAGGCACTTGACTGCTAACCAGAAGGCTGGCAGTTCAAACCCACCAGCCACTCCTTAAGGAAGGTTGGGCAATCTACTTCCGTAGTGATACTGCCTCGGAAACCCAACAAGCAGTTGCTATGAGTTGGGTCCGACTCGACGGCACATAACAACAACAACAACAACAACAACAACAATTCCATGAACTGTGTTTTTGTGTGCAGCGTGAGCCTGTGTGCTCAGGTTTATTTCCTTGTGCTTATTTTTAAGTTTTTAAAAATGGACAGTTCAGTAGCTTTTAGTATGTTCATGTTGTTGTTGTTGTTGTTATGTGCTGTTGAGTCAGACCCGATTCATGTCGACCCCTCCTTGGGTTTCCGAGACAGCATCACTACGGAAGTAGATTGCCCCATCTTCCTTCTGAGGAGTGGCTGGTGGGTTTGAACTGCCAGCCTTCTGGTTAGTAGTCAAGTGGCTTATGCACTATGCTACCAGAGCTCCCTCAGTATGTTCATAGATTTGTGTAACCCTGTCCTCATCACCACATAATTTTTTTTTTTTTTTTATTAGGATTTGGGTGAAGATTTACAGAGTAAATTCACTTTTCATACAGCAGTTCACATATACTTTGTCTCATGTCATTGACCAAAATTTACAATGCAGCAGCTCCCCTCCCACTTCCTCCCCATAGTTACCTTCTCCCAGTGTCCATCCCTTCATACTCTTCTGCACCCTGAGCTATCTCCCTGTGCATAAGCAGCCCTTCCTTCTCCCATGATTGTTCTCTCCAGGGCATGTGTCTACTTGAGGTAAATGTTTAACTCACATGCCTGTACTTTGTTTGGCTGGAAACCACAGTTGTGGGTTCAATTCCAGACCTGAAGGGCAGCTAGGGACCATAGTCTCAGTGGTTACACCAGGCTCTATTGGACCAGCAAACCTGGTCCCCACCTTCTTTTTTTTTGCCTCCAAATGATTTTGAGTTTTGTTCCACATTGTTCTCCCTCTTTATGCAGGATCTCCTACATCCCTTCCAAGTGGATGGCAGTGGTAGCTGGGCACCATCTAGTTCTTCTGGTTTCATAGTTGTATAGATTGCAGATCTGATGGTGTACCAGTCGCTAGGACTGATTGTTTCCATTAATTTTGGTTTTCTTCTTTCTTCTTGACGAGGAGAGACCCGTTGTTGCATCTAGATGGCAGCTTCCTAGCTTTTAAGGTCCCAGTCGCTACTCGCCAAAGTAGTAGGTGGAACAATGTTTTGTATAGTATGTTATGCCAATTGAGCTTGATGTCCCCTGCGACTATGGTCCCAAGCCTGCAGGATCAACTACTCGGTCCCTCTGGGTAGCTGACTGTGACCAAGTAATGACCATAACCTTGCCCCTTGTCAGCTCTACTGTACACCTGGGAATTCTGATCATTCACATGAACTTATAGGCCCATTGTCTGCCAACCCTATATATGATCTTGGATACACTCTCCATTTAGACATACCTAATTGTTTAGCTTGTTCACCTATCTGTCGTCCCTATACCCATGTTTGCTTTCACTGACAACTCAGTACTGTATATGCAAAGGGGTTCATATTTGTTGTCTGTACTGCCCATGTAACTCTCTGTACTTCTCATCCTCAATGCTGCCATATTGGTCACTCACATTTGGTACATTGCCCTTCTCTTCATCCAAATCAATATTTATCTCTATCTATCTAACAGCATTCCCTCCCCTCCCCTCCCACCCCTGGTAACCAACAAAGAAAATGTCCTCCAATAGATAAACCTTTCCTTAACTTTTACAATAACGGACTAATACAATATTTGTCCTTTTGTGACTGACTTATTTCACTCAGCATAATGTCCTCCAAGTTCATCCACATTATGCGGTGTTTTGCAGATTCTACGTTATTCTTTAGCGTTGCATAGTATTCCATTGATCACCACATAATTTTAAACCATTTTCATCACTCCAGGAAGAAACTCCATCTGCCCTGTCACTTACTCAGTCTCTGTTTTTATTTTTTAAGCCTGGATTCCTAGGGGTCATCCCTGAGTCAGCATTACTTAGATGCCAGTCACTCATTGGTCACAGGTTTTACTTAAAACTCTTCAACTAGTAAGGATAGTCCACTCTCTGCTGTTGAATCTGTGTGTGGCTTAGGGAATGTTTTCATTGTTTGGAGACAGTCTTTCAGGGACTAGTTGCTCACAGTTAACTTCTGAAGAGGGTCTTTTGGAAGCAGGTGCAGCCTTGCACGTGAACATTGTCTTCTGGACCGCCAGGGAGATGTGTGATCTTACCAAGGTTTCCTTGGCTGTATCTTTCCACGGATGCCCCTGTTAAATTTCTAGCTGATTGACTCTTCTGCTTGCGCCATTTGTGTTGTGGGGATATTAACCTTCCCAGATCATTAGCCATTGGGATTTTTTTTTCTTTTAAACAATGCCCTAGGCATAGATTTTCTCATTCTCTGCTCCAAATGTAACTCACCTCAGGCTGTTTCTTTTTTCTTTTTGAATTGTGATTTGGGTGAAGGTTTACAGAGCAAATTCACATTCCATATAGCAGTTCACATATACTTTGTCTCATGACTTTGACCACAGTTTACCACAATGCAACAGCTCCCCTCCCACTTCCTCCCCATAGTTACCTCTTCCCAGTGTCCATCCCTCCATAATCTCCTGCCCCCTGAGCTGTCTCCCTGTGCATAAGCAGCCCTTCTTTCTCCCATGATTGTTCTCTACAGGCTGTTTCTTATATTGAAAACCTCCCCTGCTCTGGGGTGAACAGCCTGTCCCACCCTGAGGTAGAATTTTTGCCATATGGAGCTGTGCTGGGAAGGAAATGGGTGCTGCAGACTTCAGGATCTGCCCCCCATGCAGCTGCCCCACATACAACTTAAGCAACAAGGCTCGGGGAGGGGGAATGGTAACAGCTTCTGCCTCCAGTGCCATAGCCTTCCAGTGTTTTTATTCTGTAATTTGGTAGATTTTCTTGAATATGTACTTTTCAACTTTTTGTATGCTCTATGGCCAGTTTCTGTAGTGTTTAAATGATTACTTTTGACAGTTTTGTCCAGGTTTTTGATGCTATTTTGAGGAGAAGATCTGCTAATCTCCTACACAGCCATTCCAAAAAATAAATAAAATTTAATGAAAAAAATATTTAATGATTTTGAATTTTAAAACATTGGAGTGTCTTCTTGGGGTTTTTATTGTGATCTTTTAAGTATTTACTGTTTTTTTTTTTTTTTTTTTTTTAAAAAAAACAACTCGCTGCCATCGAGTAGGATCCAACTCATAGTGATCCCTCCTTGCATTTCCAAGGGTCCGGTAGCATAGTGGCTAAGGCACTTAACTGCTAACCAGAAGGCTGGCGGTTCAAACCCACCAGCCACTCCTCGGAAGGAAGGTTGGGCAATCTACTTCCATAGTGTACTGTCCCAGAAACCCAGTTGGGGCCGACTCGATGGCGCATGACAACAAGAGCAACATTACTACAGAAGTAGATTGCCCAGTCTTCCTTCTGATTTACTGGTTAAGCTAATCAAAAACATTTTTTTCTCGTCTAATTATTTCATCTAAAAACCAAGTCTTCTCACAGCTCTGGTGGGGTTAGTGGGCAAGGCATTTGCCTGCTAACCAGGTGATTGGCAGTTCAAACCCACCAGTTGCTCCGTGGGAGGAGCTTCATCTAAAGCAGTCTACTTCTGTAAAGATTTATAGTGTTGGAAACCCAGTGGCGCTGCTAGAGTCAGAATCAATTCGATGGCAGTGGGTTTTGTTGGTTTGCGAACTGCCAGTGAGAACGCTTGTTGACATTTTATAAATGTGGGGAAGGAGACTGGCTTTAGTTATAGGTTGGATCACAGTCCATTGGTTTTTGTTCTTAAAATTTGAACTTGGACCATGTTGTGTATCTAGCTTCAAAGGTGAAGATGGATACTGTGTGCATATGTATGTTGTTGTCATTTGCCGCCAAGTTGGACCCGACTCATAGCGACCCCTCCTTGGGTTTCCGAGGCAGTATCACTGTGGAAGTAGATTGCCCAACCTTCCTTCTAAGGAGTGGCTGGTGGATTTGAACTGCCAGCCTTCTGGTCAGCAGTCAAGTGCCATAGGCACTACACTACCAGAGCTCCTGTGCATATGTATACGTAGCTCCAAAGCATTATGGTCTAAGAAAAGATACAGCATTAAGATTGTATAGGCCTTGTGAAAACTGAATGACATTTAAATTGCCCAGCTGTAATGTCATTCTCCATTTCTAACTATGGATGTGCAGTGGAAGAATGGTCTTTATCCTGTCTCTAACGCTTTCTGTCTTGCTTGTTAACAACTTTCATCTTTAGGTAATGTCTGAGTAGCTCTATTAAAAGCCATCAGGCTTCTCATCTACTTTGTCAGTGTTAGAGCTTTGACCTCAGTTCCTATCAAATTCTGTCCTTGCTCATCTCCACTTGATTATTCATGTTTGACTAGAACCTTTATACAAGGAGGATGGAGTCAATCCTTTCTTCTTTTTTTTTGCATCTCCCATATTTCCTGGCTTTGACCCAGAACATTCTTGGGTTTCTTCAACCTTGAGTTTGGATCTTCTCAAATGTGCTTTACTCCTTAACACTGTCCATAATTATATAAAGATACTTTTGGCCAGTGTTTAATACTTGATTTAAAAAAAAAAAAATTCTCGATACATTATTCTACTTGAAAGCTAGAGATTTGTTTCTAAACAAATGTCAGCCCTTAAGATCTTGTTCCCTTAAGACATTTCTCTTCTTCTCTTGAATAAATATACTCTTGATACTTGTTAACTATTTGTACTTTGAGATCCCATGTAGTGACTTCTTAATTCAATAAAAGAAAAGTATAGCAAAGACATCTGTCAAGAAAAGAAGCGGTCATCAGGAAAAATAGAAGCTTGGTGAAAATAAAGGATTGTGAAAATATAACACTGCTGACCATTTGTATACACATACACATTATCCTGTGGCAGACTTTATCTTTTCATCTCAACTACACTCCACAACTCTGAATCAAGCCACCACCATTTGACTTGATTTCCTGAGGGGAATAACTGTGGATTGGTGCTATTACAAATTCCTAGTCTCTGACGTTAGTCTTCTGCTATCTTTATTTTAATTACAGTTCCCCTCAGAGATGATTTTAACACTAGTCAAACTGTCAGCCTGCTGCAACCCTCCCTTGCCTCTTGGGCAGATCATCTTACTAGGTTTTACTTCACCCAGGATACCATGGACGTCAAGGAAGAACTTGCTCTTTTGATACTCACAACTCTTGCACTTCGTTGCCCTGTCCTGGCCCCTTCTCCTGTCCAAGATGGTCCTGCCTCTGCTTTGGATTTCAGCCCTTGAGATCTTGTTCCCTCAAGACATTTCTCTTCTTCTCTTGAATAAATATACTCAAGATGTTTTGTCTGTCTCTCTCTCTGCCTGTTTGCCTTGTATGCACTTTTTCCATCTTACCCACTCATTGCAGTGTCCTAAGTGTAGCCATGCTTTGTGGACATTGTAGATACTCGTTTCAACCATTTTGGAGGCCAGTCATCCCCTGTGCTTCCTTTTTTAGTTAGCTTTCCTCACTCTGTCCTTCAAACTTGACGTGAGCATCATTTCTTCTGGCTGGTGGTCATGACCATGCTTCTCCATTGAAAGTCTTCTGTCTGTGTTTCTGCAATGGCTTGAGAACTCCTCCCTCAGAGATGTACCCTAGTGCGTGGTCACTCTGACAGGCCTGCTTTTCTCTGTTCATCTTTACCCAACCTCCAGCTCGTCGTTGGCAGAGACTGGGTTTTAGTAGTATTTGTGTCTGTAGTTCCTGACACGTAATAGCTGCTCAATAACTATTTTAGCTTGAATTTCTAAATTTATATATAGGCTGATAGACTTTTGTTGTGGATACTTTATAGAAAAATTCCAAAGTAATATAGTAAAAAGCAACTGAATGGGGATTGTAACTGAAGCTATACAGTTATTCTCTTTCTCTTTCACAGACACAAGCTCGGATAATTTTGGGTACAACCTCCTGACCTTCATCATCTTGTACAACAATCTCATCCCTATTAGCCTATTGGTGACTCTTGAGGTTGTGAAATATACACAGGCCCTTTTTATAAACTGGGTAAGTATTAAAGCAGAATTTATGAGTTGAGCTGCCCGGGAAATGTCAACCACTAAGAAGATTGGGCAATCTACTTCTGTGGTGATACTGCCTCAGCAACCCAAGGAGGGGTCGCTATGAGTTGGGGCCGACTTGATGGCACATAACAACAACAACAACAACAACAACGTCTTCTAATAGTATCTCAGAGCCTTAGTCATTTAATTGAGCTCCTAGAAAAAGAACAGTATGGTTCCTTTATGGTTAGGTCCATCCAGAGGCTTCTTGTTGTTCTGAGGTGCCATCAAGTTGGTTCTGACCCGTAATGACCCTGTGTGCAACAGAATGAAGCCCTGCCCGGTCCTGCCCCATCCTCAGAATCCTTGCCATGCTTGAGCCCATTGTTGCAACTACTGTGTCAGTCTGCCTCACTGAGGATGTTCTCCTTTTTTTGTTGAGCCCCTGCTTTGTTGTTGTTGTTGTTATGTGCTGTTGAGTCAGCCCCGACTCGTAGCATGCGTTTCTGAGGCAGTATTACTATGGAAGTAGATTGCCCAGCCTTCCTTCTGAGGAGTGGCTGATGGGTTTGAACTGCCAGCCTTCTGGTTAGCAGTCAAGCACCTTAGGCACTATGCCACCAGAGCTCCCTATCTTTACCAGAGGTTAAATTGGCCAAATAGAACTGGCATTGGCATGCGTGGTAGAATTGGGGCAAAGGATCATCAATGAGGGCATCTCTGATTACTTAGGGATTTCTCTAGCTAGTTTAAGTGACTGGAAAGTGGTTGGGTAGTAAATCACCAGAAGTTGTCTTATGTAGTTTAGTACTTTCAATAATAAATACATAAAGTTTTCAAAGAGTTAAAAAAAGAAAGAGGTTTAAAACACTTCATGAGGAATGAAAAAGTGTCAGCAGACTTGTGTGACAGTGGAATAAAGTGATCAAGACTTCAGGCTGAGGGTAAGTTCATAGTGGTGACCACTTCCCTGACTTCTCGGCTTCCTAGTCTATGAGATGAGGAGGGCAGTAGTACCTCCCATTTAAGGAGTTGTTGTGAAGATTAGGGAAAGTGATGGAGGTACAATGCTCAGCTGTTGGGTTATGTCTGGTTGGGTGATGATGCAATGACTGAAACTGAGGTTCAGACTTTTACAGTCTCAAACTGAAGACCACGTCACTGCCATCAAGTCAATTCCAACTCATAGCAACCCCTGTAGGATTTCCAAGGCTGTAAATCTTTATGGAAGCTGACTGCCTCCCTTCTGCAGAGTGGTTGGTGGGTTCAAACCACTGACCTTTTGGTAGCAGCCAGATGCCTTAACCACTGTACCACCAGAGCTCCTTTTCCATTAGGCTAGTGATGAAAAATCATCTTGAAACCAGAAATTCTGTATATAATAGCATGTTTTCTCCTGTATAATACATGTTTCAACAGTCATAGCTACTATTTCTTCACTCTCCAAAATATAATACAATCATTTATATCAAAATACAATGATATTAAGTTACCTGTTTTTAATGTCTTCTCTGTGTAAATATAAAGGAAGGGTTAAAGGTATGTATTTACTGAAGTGTTCTATCTTACTCTCTCTCTCTGTCTCAGGACACAGATATGTATTACATAGAAAATGACACTCCTGCAATGGCCAGGACGTCAAACCTTAATGAAGAGCTGGGGCAGGTGAGCGTGTCTTCCAGAACTTCAGCAACTGGGCCATGAACTTGAGAGGTGACCAGAGTTAGAAGACAACTGAGGGCTTTCATACAGTGTAGTTCTCCATAAATGTGGTTATTTCATTTGAAGTTATTTGTAGTATTGGACAGTTTTTTTTTTTTTTTTAAGTTAGATCACTGTGAGTTTATTGATTGGGGCCCACTTAGCCAGATTCTTCATTCAAACACTGAAACACTCAGCTCAAGAGGTTAGGAAAGGATCTAAGAGTTTATCTGGTTGCTTCACTGAAGCATGGATTATGCAGTGGCCTACCCTAAATCAAGCTAAAACGCCAGACCTGCCCTTGTATACTGTAGAAGAAGGTATCCAGTGACTTAGGGAAATTGACCTGTTAGAGTGGATTTTATCAGGTTGGACCCACAGACCCACTCAAGGACTGCTCAAAGGACACACCTGTTACCACAATGGTGAGGTGTAAATTTGTGAAAGGAGCCCTAGCGTCCTTGAAAATTGTCTATTTATTTATTTATTTAAAATTTTCATTGTGATTTGGGGTGAAAGTTTACAGAGCAAATTCATTTTCCATATAGCAGTTCATACACATTTTGTTTCATGACATTGACTGCAACTCCCCACCATGTAACAGGTCTCTTCCCACTTCCTCCCTGTAGTTACCTCTTCCCTGTGTCCTTCCCTCCCATGCACTTCCATCTCCCCTGAGCTGTCTCCCTGTGCAAACGCTGCCCTTTTGTTCTCCCACAATTGATTTCTCCAAGGAGTATATCTACCTGATGTAACTGTTCACCCCATATCTCTGTCTGTTGTTTAGCTGGAAGCCTCAGGAATGAGTTCAGTTCCAGACCTGAGGGCCCATAGTCTCAGGGGTCTCACAGGATCTATTGGAGAATCTTATTAAATGAAAATTCTAACTTGCTTTTTTAGGCACAGATCTGTTTTATCACCTAGAAAATACCTGGAAAAAAGTACAAACACATAATAAGTCATAATTTTAGACTCTGAAATTTGTTTATCAGGAGCCACGTGTTGGAGACCACAGTGGTTAGGATAATCAGATATTGGGTATCCATGCCAAAGAAACCAAAACTAAACCTACTGCCATTGAGTCTACTCTGACTCATAGTGACCCTATAGTTTTACTAAGTAAAATTGCCCTATAGGGTTTCCAGGGCTGTCAGTCTTTATAAAAGCAAACTGCCTGTTTCTCCCATGGAGAAGCTGGTGGGCTCAAACCACTGACCTTCTGGTCAGCAGCTGAATGCTTTAGCCACTATGGTACCAGGGCTCCTTATGTACCCTTCCAAACTAAAAGCATACTTACTGCCATTGAGTTGGTTCTGACTCATAGTGACCTCCATTGAGTTTCCAAGGCTGTAAATCTTTACAGAGGAAGACTGCCTCATCTTTCTTCTGCCAAGCAGCTAGTGGGTTTGAACCACTGACATTTTGGTTAGCAGCCAAGTGTCTTAGCCATGACACCACCAGAGTTCCTTTTATGTATCCTTATGGCCCCCTAGATGCTTATTTTACTGAAGAGCAGGGATTGATGATTGATGCTGGATCAATCATCTCAGCCATGGAATTGTGTGTTAAGTGTATAGCAAGAAACATTATTTTAAAAAAGCATTTTTAAACTATAAACTTCCTCATTATCAATTTCACTCAGATCAAATGATATTTAAAAAAGATTTTTCCACAATAATTGCTTCAGCCTGTGTGGGTCAGGAACAAATATGATAGTTCTCTGATCTTGGGCAGACTTTTAGAGAATAGGAAACTAATTGACACAAATGGTTAAGTGCTTGGCTGCTAACCAAAAAGTTGGCCATTCACATTAGAGAAACGCAAATCAAAACAATGAGATACAATCTGGCCCCAGCACTAGCAGTAAAGTTCAACAAGACAGAAAATAACAAATGCTGGCGAGGATGTGGAGAGACTGGGACTCTCTCATACACTGCTGGTAGGACTGTGAAATGACACAACCACTGTGGAAAGCAGTATGGCGATTCCTTAAACAGTTGGAATTAGAATACCATTTGACCCAGCCATTCAGTTACTAGGTATATATCCTAAAGAAGTAAGAGCCAGGAGAAGAACAGATATATGCACACCCATATTCATCGCAGCACTATTTACAATAGCTAAAAGATGGAAACAACCTAGGTACCCATCAACGGAAGAATGGATAACCAAACTATGGT